CTCCAGGATGACCTGAGTCATCCCAGCCAAGCACTTGGTTCAATGTCATCCGCCCTCTATAGACTAGCAATCGAATAAATAACTGAGCTCTCTCTGGGAATCAATACTTATTGACTCTTACTAAGCGCCACCAACTAAGTGTCCTTTATCACAGGAGGAAAAGGGCTACTGCATGGAGCAAGAGGGATGCTGAGGAATTTTATCTCGGAACAGAGCTCCTGAAATGGAGTTCCACCACTTGACCCACACTGATTTTTTTTTTCCCCTTCCTGAAGCTTGAAAATTCCTTAAGGGAAGAGGATATAAATATTTACTGTGCACACACTATACTCTCTGTCCATGCTTGTTATTTACAAGATTTTAAAGAGATGTCAAGCACCAAAGGGCTGAAAGGGAATTTAGGAAAAATGTGGTCTAATTCTAAAAGCTTTTTACACTACCTCACATTGACTCCTTTCAACATTCACCACATTTTAAGGTTGGCATATGGGAACTTTCAGTAGCATCCATTTCTAACTTCCTGAACGCAGCTACTGTCCAAGAGTTAACATCTGTTTTAAGGACTCAGGGTCATTATTATGACTACCTATTAATGTTCCAGTTTTAAATTTAATGTTAATATTTTAATTTCAGATAGTGAGTCAGCTCTAAGTTCTAAAGATGCCATAAGACTTTCTTCACAGTCTTTTGTTTAAAATAAGACCCTAATAAAGTACACATAGTGCAATCAATTTATCTTTGAATTTTCTTTGGTTATCAGATTCCTCTCTACTGTTGTTCTATTATTTCAACTTGTTGAAGAAATCAGACTGTCCGCTGTACTGAGCTGTCCAACTCTGAACTCTGTTGACTCTAAGCATATCCCACTCTCTCATGCATTTAAGGTAAGTTGGTTTCTCCTGAGGTTTGGTAAGAGTCATATTTAATTTTGGGAGAGAAGGAGCAAGACAAATTGGTGAGGTTGCATTCATCCATTATGGGGCAAACTTTCAGCTCTTCTGTACTGTTTTGCTGTCTTCAATTATCAGTGTCTACCCCCAGTGAGTCACTGACTGCTGGAAATGGTGACATCCTACATAGGATTGTTAGAGTGGAACCCTTAGACGAGTGAGGTACATCTGGGACTTTTATTCCCAAACTGGAGTAGACCTCGGGCCACTCTGTCTCTAGCACCTCAATCTTTGTCATGAACAGTTTTTCTGCATGTCTCCTGTCAATAATCATACATCAATGTTTTTAATACATGTGTGTCCTTAACAGCTCAGTCATCTTTTGATTTTTTTTCATTGGTTGCTTCTAATCTTCTCTACCAACTTGAATCAGATAATAAAGTTCTCTATAATGAGACAAACGAAAGAGGTCAGAGGACTCTCTTTATCATCTAGGAGCTAAGCTTTAGTTCACAGGCTGAGTGACTGAGTTCTGAGTTCTTGGCTATATAGTGACTCTCCAGGATGAACGAACCCCTGGAGTTAGTCTGAATCAAGTCGGTTTTTATTATCTCTCCGGACCCCAAGGAGGTACAACAATCCATTCCTGAACAACCTTATCTTTGGATGTACTGTAAGAATTTTTCTTTTGGTTCTCTTGTTGTATCTCAGGGTCTAGAACAGTGCTTCACACACAGGTAAGTGTTAGACACAAAATCAGCCCAAAGGTAAGACCACTGAAGTGTGGTGACATTGGGTAAGTTTTCCCAAAACTCAATCCCTATAGGGTTACTCCGATGCTTCAGCACTGCAGAGGCCTCTACTGCCTAATTCTCTCCCCTGCATTGCAGTCTTCTAAGTCTGTCTTTCATCCTCCTTCCTATGTCCCTGGCTTCTGCATGTATCGGTGATCACTTCTGAAACCACTTGTCTCGCTCCCTTTGAATTCTGCCCATCTGTGTTTCAAACATACACTAAATCTCATTCTTCCAATTAAAATTACTCAGAACTCCAACCAGTTCTGACCTCTAAAGGAAATGACATTTCCAGGTTACCAGTTAAGGCACTGTGCAGGAGCATGTCAAGAAACATACAAGTGTTTCTGGGGAATAAACCTGGGGAGCAAGGGATTGAAATGATAAAAATATTTGAATTATTCTAGCTATATTACTTAAGGATAAAGTTAAATTAGATAAAAGCAGTATAAATTAGCACGTGTCTGAGCTTTTCCAAAGCAGCCCTAACAAAAGCAGCCTATAATTTCCATACGTGGTGGTTTGGAGTAACCACTGTACGAGAAACATTAAAAACAAAAAACCAAACCCTCACAGTGTGGATATCCTGTGAAAACTGGTTTTTATTTTAATCTTACTATACAGTTTTCAGTCTGCTACATAATACATTTATTCTCATGAGAATCTGAGCGCTTCCTCTTCTACTCTTCACCCAACACTAAGATTATAAGGAAAGTGCCCTATTTATCCTGCACCTTCCAACATTTCCCCACATTCCCACACACTAAAGGGAACATGTCTGGTTCATCTGAAAAAGAAGGGGAGGAAATAACGACAAAGTTAACAAGATGACAAGGTTACTGCTTTATAATCACTTGTGATTTTTCTTCCCCATGGAGTTACAAACGAGTACATCTCCTTGGATTCATCAAAGGCTCCAATGCACAGCCTATACTCAGTGTGTTGGCACTCACACAAGCTCAGCAGCTGGGGGACCCCAGGTCCATCTGCGGGTTCAATGCAGGGACACTTAGGCTCACCTTCTGGTAGACTCCCTGGTGGCCCAAGAGGGGTTAGAAAGAGGGGCTCTCCAGGCAGAGGATTCAAACAGAGACAGCAAATGTTGATTTTCAGTGAGCGCTGAGGACTGAAGTCTGCCTCTGCTGGCCCCACGAATCTGCTCAGATAGCTGCTGTCCACTACGGAGGCCGCTGGGGACACGCAGCTACTCAGCACTGGCAGTGTGGCCAGCATGATGAAGGAACGCTCAATTGTAACACATAGAGACCGTAAAAACTAATACTCAATTCAGTCATTCAAAAGAATAACTTCTTATACTCAAGTTTGGCACAATCTAGGCATATAGAATTACTTTTTCAATTATTTATTTCATGAAATCTGAATATAGCTCCAGCACTTCCAATGAAAATTGTTCACACTGCTTTAAATCTGAAGTTAATTTAGATTCAGATTTAGCTCAAAAATTATTAACGTGGAGTAATAACTTTCATATTTTAGAAATTACATGTTAATCCATGTTGAAATTACATGATTTAGAAACACTGGCTAAATATATTATTGGTTCAAATAACAGGCCTAATTTCACTAACTTATTACTTTAAAAAAATCAGGTATTATTAACTATACAATTAATGTGTGGCTTGCATTATCTTTCTATCAAGTAAGACTGATTTAGACAAAGACCTGAAAAGAGACACCTTGTTTGAAAGAAATTGTGAGGCTCTTTAAATTCTAATGTTCACAGCGTGCATTCAAAAGAGGTTCAGTTTTTTCTGTGCAAAGCATGAGTCCCAGGCCGTAAATGGAACAGTTACACACACCACCTATGGTTGACTGGTCTGTGCTTAGTCTCCTATTCTCTGGTTACACAAGGTGGCTTTCGGAGGCCATGTGCTTAGAACAAGCTTTAGTCTCCAGGGTCAGGGTCAGGGCTGCTTCTCTCTGATCCCAGGAAACCACAGTCCTCCTAGGAAGCTCTCTTTCAGGCTCTAGGACTACAACAGCCCAGCCTCCCGATGGCAGGGGTGAGGGGCAGCTCAGAGGCCAGGCCTCCAGGTACAGTCTGAAGTCAGGCTGAATACACTGCCATCTAACTCCGCCCAAGGCTGATGAGCTAAACTCAGGCAAATGGTATGACCTCCAAGGACTTAATGTCATTATCTAAAAACGGAGATAAAGGCCTACCTCGTAAGCTTTGTTTTACTGTACTCTTATTTATTTACTTTACTTCATAAGTTAACTTTAAAACACAAGTTTTAAAGATTAAAAGATTTGTGAATCTCAAAAATCAATTGTTAGTTTGTGTTGCTCATTTTTTAAAAAAGATTTTTTTTCTTAAATTGTATCTTTTTTGGAAAGTCAGATTTACAGAGAGCAGAGACAGGGAAAAGAAAGATCTTCTTTCTACTGGTTCACTCCCCAAGTGGCTGCAATGGCCGGAGCTGAGCTAATCTGAAGCCAGGAGCTTCTGGGTCTCCTATGTGGGTGCAGGGTCCCAGGGCTTTGGGCCATCCTCCACTGCCTTCTCAGGCCACAAGCAGGGAGCCTGATGGGAAGTGGAGCAGCTGGGACACAAAACTGGCGACCATATGGGATCCAGGCTGCTGCAAGGTGAGGACTTCAGCCACTAGACTACCACGCCAAGCCCATTATCACTTTCTACACAGAAGCCAGTTATGTTACTTTAAACACGAACACCTAACACAAATAAGGCCTAGTATCTTACAACAGCTAGAGTTCCCTTACACATCCTGACACTACAGCCACACGAGGCAGCATCACGGGTTCCTCGAACCCTCATCGCTCAGCCCTGCAGTGCCGTAGGGGAGCCTGTAGACTGAGGCCTGAATTCCAATTCTCATGAGACTAGGTCAGCAACTGACAATGAAACAACTTTAACCAATGCTTAACAAAGCACAAAAACATTTCTGATATTAAAATAGAGTACACCGAGATAGTTGTAAACAAGGTTTTGGGTTTTTTTAACAACAATTTTTTTTTAAAGAACTTCTCCATTTATTATTATTTTTCTCTCTGATCTTGCCATGCCAAGAGAATATAATTAGCAGTATGAGTAATTAGTTAGCTGCTGACCAGATGGTATGGATGATGGATGTCACCTAAGAAGGAGGTGCAAATGGAAACAGCAGGTGTCTAACCAACATGTCTCGGGAATGCCAATGCCATCGGGTTATACTAGTTGCATGCACAATTTAAACACAAAAGGAGACAGTAACACACTTCACATGCCCGCTTTAGAGCGCAGAGCCACTCAGAGCCTCCGTGCCACCAGCCACCAACGTCCACCCAGACACACCTGTAACAGACGCTGTCAGTGCCAGGGTTGTGAGCCCTGACGATGACGAAGACGTGCTGAAAGTGGGATCGGATGTTTTTCGGGCTGAATGGTTGTGCTCCAGGCTCTTGGAAAACTATTGTTACAATATCATTTCCAATGTGCCGCTTCCGTAGGAGCTACAAGACAACATAAGCAACCAACATAGGTGATGATACTCTGTTTTCCTCCTCAATTTCCTTATGTAACTATATTTAAAACATCCAATTCTAATTAGTACACATTAGGGTTATTATCAATATTAGAACCAGTCTTATCATTTCCTCCAAGGAAGAAAATGGAAATGTGAAATTTACATAAAAGATAGTCATTCAAGTAGATCTAACCAGTATCAAGGCATGGCATGCCAAGTTTCAGCATCTCTAAACCCTAGTTTCCATAACAACAGTTTTGTTCCATTTTTATGTAAGAAAAAAATTTGCCATGGGAAAGATTTTTAGAGATGAAAAAGGCTGAGGTAATTACCATACAATTTATGTTCTGGTTTAATTGGCTTTATTTAAAGCAAATGTGGCAAATGTATTTTTTCATACTTTTTGTATCAAAGCTGGAAAGTACAAATTAATAACATTCCACAATGCTGTAGCAATTTAAAAGCAGGTTAAGTTTCAAGTTTAAACGGCTTCTTTAATTACAGTGAAAGCTGCTTAAGACCACCTTCTGTTGTACGTTACATGGTGTTTTGGAAGGGCAGCCTACCAAACCAGCTATCTCGCTGCCCCCAAACACAGGGTCCAGGGAAATTTCAGGGAGAGGTTTGTTAGATCGGTTAATCCAACGGTGAAAAGAAAAACCAAACAAAATTTCCATTTCTCATATGCTCTTAGAAAAAAACAGTAAATGACAGTTATATAAACTATTCATTAAACTGAAGCATGCATACAAAGCTGTTTTACTTCTGCAGTGACTTTAAGGTGTACAAAATTACACAATGGTGAAGAGCAACAACTTCTACTACAGTGGTGTGGAATGGGATCGGTTCAGATTAGGGTTGAGAATCGGGAGTTAGGCTGTTTAGAAAATGTACTTGTAACCTCAGGAACCTGAAAGCATATCAAATTATCTTCTAACTCTGAACTGATTTCATTTCAAAGCATAATATATAATCAAGATGCTAAGGAAGTAAAGCTAGTTTGTATTGATCGTACATAAAACATACCAACAATCTGAGGTTATTACTCTACTCAGAATCACATAAAAAGAGCTGATACAATTTATCTATTCATGTCACAATTCCTGCACAGATGTCGCTATATGTGTGGTGTGTGTGTCACTCCTTTAAAATATGTCTTGACATAAAAAATTAGTGTGCTGCTACTGAAAGACTCAGGCAGAAATGCATTCATTTAAACAGTTAACACTGTATCTAATGAAACATAATATTTACAGAAAAGGATGCCTGCTCTTTCTTTTTCCAAGCATAAAATAACCTAAACAGAAGAAATTCTTGGATCTGGTGTGGTAGTCTAGCAGCTAAGGTCCTCGTCTTGCATGCCCCAAAATCCCATATGGGTGCCAGTTCTAAGCCTGATGGCCCCGCCTCCCATCCAGCTCCCTGCTTGTGGCCTGGGAAAGCAGTGGACAATGCCCAGGGCCTTAGGACCCTGCATCTGTGTGGGAGACCTGGAGGAAGCTCCTGGCTCCTGGCTTCGGATCGGCACAGCACCGGCTGTTGCGGTCACTTGGGGAGTGAATCCGCAGATGGAAGATCTTTCTCTGTCTCTCCTCCTCTCTGTATATCTGACTTCCCAATAAAAATAAATAAAATTTTGTAAAAAAGAAATTCTCTAGCTAAAGAATGAAATGTCTCAATATACAGAGAGAATGAATTTCTTCATATGACAATACTTCAAAAAGTTTGTGGAAATACAATTAAAAGATAGGCATCAATCATTTTTTTGCATAATGCACATGTTCACGAAATTTTTGAACACCTTTCACCTACGGACAGTACCAACTATTTTCTTTTTTTGTTTTTAAGACTTACTTATTTTTATTGTAAAGACATTTACAGGGAGAAGGAGGAACAAAGATATTCCATCCTTTGGTTCATTCCCCAAGCGGTTGCAATGGCTGATCCAAAGCCATCAGCCTCTCCCAGGACTCCCTCCCACACAGGCACATGGTCCGAACAACTTGGACTACCCTCCAACTGCTTTTCCAAGCAGCACTGGAAGTGGCGCAGCCAGAAACAAACCACTGTCCATATGGGATGCTGGTGTTTGCAGTCAGAGGATTAGTCAGCTGAACCATCGTGCCAGCTCCACCAATTACTTCTTCATTCTGATGGCTGACCAAAACATTTTTGCCTTGATTTTATAGAAAAACCAGGTGATTTTGGTATTTATATGTCGAGTCACTCTACCGAATATACTTCAACACCTTTAGTTAGAAATAAACAATTCATATTCTTGCTAAGGTGGGCATGTGACATGGTGGGTTAATATTCTGACACTGGCATCCCACATTATATTGCTGATCAGTTCCAGTCCTGGCTGCTCCACTTCTGCTAGTGCTAACGTGGCTGGAAAGGCGTGGCAGATGATCTAAGGGCTCGAGGCCCTGTTGCCCAAATGGGAGGCGGGAACAGAGTTCTAAGCTCCTGGTTTTGTGCCAGTTATGTGGGCATTTTGGGAATAAACCAGCAGATGGGAGATCTCTCTGCTGTTCTTTCAAATAAAGAAACAAATATTTCAAAAGCCAGTTAACTGGGCTTATTACTTTTTTTTTTAATCTTCACCAATCTTTTCAGGTGGAATAGGCCTTTATCTTTACTGTAAGACTACCAACTGGTACATCTAACCAGCAGGATATTTTTCTCTCTGAGAACCTTTATAAAATTTATATAAAAGAATTTATAAAAGAAATCTGTCAACAAAGTCTGAATAAGGAAGTTTATTTTAAAACAGGCTTATTTTAGGTAAATATTCAATTCACTGCCTTGCTTCCTATTTTTTATTATCAAGAAAGGCACAAATTTTGTATCTAGATTTGCTGGAGCCTTGAGTGGTGAGGTGTAGATTAGATCAGTGTTTGGTTAAATTCTGTGAAAGAGGATGTGATTCACTCTGCAGCTGGGCCTGTGGTGTTAGGAGAATATGGCATCTTTTCTGAACCTTTTTCTTAAAGTAAATGCCAGCTTTCCCTGCTCTGTGCTCTGGCCTGAGATGGCACTTCCCTTGCTTCTGAATGTTCTCTGTAGCGCTGCAGAGCCATCTCACCACTGTGGCTTCAACTTGTTCCCTTCAGATTTCATGAAAACCACATGCCCCAAGAGTGAAAAGCAAATAATTAACGAACAAAGCCATCCAGCTGATTGCTAACCTAGACTTAGTGACTCGTCATTTGTTTCCAGCTTATTTGGTATTTCTTTCTTCCACGTAGCACAAAGTTTTCTGCTGCTGTCACAGGTGCAATAGTAAATTCTTACGGCCTCTGGGGCACACAAATCAAAGGTGCAAACACAGCTACCACGTGACGTCTTACCTGTTGTTTGTTGTTGGGTGTGTAGGGCAGCATGGTAGAGACATGGAACATGATCTCATAGTCCTTGTATGTTGTGTACAGGGAATGCGTTCCAGTGGAGTCAGCTGCAGTTAGAAAAGTACGTTAAGATGAAATGACTGTAAGAACAGAAAATGCAATTCATTAATGAGAGCAAGCTCCCAGAAATAATAGAAAGGATTCATGATAAAAGGATCCTAGATAAGACATCCTACACATGTTCTTACCTTTATTTCTGGTACCTGACCCTCTCTGACATTTTGTGAAATCTATGATCCAGATCACTTCTCATAACAATCTTTGCAAATGGATAAAATATACAATAAGATTTCAAACATAAATGTAATACAATGAAAACAAAATTATGATAACTTTAAAGTATGATATGTATAAGATTTACAGAGTAGGAATTGACAACTAATCTAGCATCAACTATGCTTCTGAAGGCATGATGGGCAAAGCAATATTTGGAGGTATTTGAAATAATAAATAATATGAAACATACGTGCTTTCTGTTGGACAAGAAAAAATGGAGCTTATACTACTGTGGTCTGTTGCTTATATTTAGAATTGCTAAAATTCAATTTGGAGTCAATGAAAATAAAGATCAAATTATTTCACACTCAAGTTTTAGACCCCTAAATTCTGTCCACAAATATCAAGTTAAAAAACCTTCTTTTGATACTTCTAATGTCTGCAAGAGACGAGATAATTACAACATAACACTGAAAAAGCATCACAGCAATGTCTACAACCTTTAGGACTTCAGTTGGTTGTGATCTCATCTTCCAGAAGGAAAAGAAAACCTCTCCTGACTTCATTATTACTAAAGTTTCAGAATCAATTTACCCGCAAGTACCTGGAAACTGCAGAAGAGAATCATCAAATGCTCAACTGGGAGTATTTGTTCAAATTCAAAGGACCTATTCCAAAGGCCACAGGAGTGCATTCACTCTGCTGAAATCAAGCCTCCAACAGCTACATTTTTTGAAGATTCAAGAAATTTTCTACCTTTGGCAGACTGAGGTGGCAAGAGACAGAAGTCCTCAAAACTGATCATGAGGGCCCGGCGGTGTGGTCTAGCGGCCTAAGTCCTCGCCTTGAACGCTCCGGGATCCCATGTGGGCGCCGGTTCTAATCCTGGCAGCTCCACTTCCCATCCAGCTCCCTGCTTGTGGCCTGGGAAAGCAGTCGAGCATGGCCCAAAGCTTTGGGATCCTGCACCTGTGTGGGAGACCTGGAGGAAGTTCCTGGACCCTGGCTTTGGATTGGCGCAGTACCGGCTGTTGCGGTCACTCGAATGAATCATCATCGGACGGAAGATCTTCCTCTCTGTCTCTCCTCCTCTCTGTGTATCTGACTTTGTAATAAAAATAAATAAATCTTAAAAAAAACTGATTATGAAAGCAGGGAGTTAGTTTAAAAGTTAGATTCTCCGACCCTAGCCCCTAGAAATATACTGCCATGTGGGTGGGGCTGGCACAGAATGCTACATTGAACGGCCCTCCACCCCCATGCTTCCAATGCAGTAGCTCCACCGCCATGAGGTTCTACTCCAAGGGCAGAAGACAACTGTGGTTAGTCATGGCTAATGTTCTAAAGCCTAGAATTCAAACCCTGAATTTGTTGGAGGATCGTAATTTTGAAGCCATCATGAAATGATTTTAAAAAGCAGGAAAAATATAACAAAGAATATCTTTCAAAAGTTGAAAGACATATAACTACCCAGAAAGAAAAACCTCTTAAATGTTTGTGACCTCCATACAAACTGCCTGGCACTACATAGAAGTACTCTTCCTCAACTATTTCATAGTCTTGAATATGAAGAACTTGTCTATTGTTAAAAAGGCCCCTGCTATAAATATCTGTGGAACTGATTAGTACATTTTTAAAATGAGTATGTCAGCCTTGACATGCAGTTACATGTATTTCCAGTCAATTTTAAGCAAAGTTAATGAGATAGAATAAAAAGACTGTCATCCGGCACCATTTATTACCTCTTGCTTTATCTGGCTGCCTAATTCTGAAAGGACGACCCGCACGCAGAGAAGCCGCTGTGGGACGGCCCTGAGGACCATTTGTTTTTCTCCTTCTGGTCCTTTCTCTTCTCTGCATGTCTTCCTTAAAACAACAAATGCTCAGCAGTGTTTTTTTTCTGGGGAACTTTGGAAATTTCAGGGTTTATCATCATGCATATTTTAAAGATATATTTACTCATTTGACAGAAAAAGAGGGAGGATGGGAGGAAGAGGGAGGGAGGGAGGGAGGGAGAGAGAGGGAGAGGACACACAGGAAAAAAGATGTTTTGCAACAGGCAGGGATGAACCAGGTTGAAGCCAGGAGCTTCATCCAGGTGTCCCACATGGGGCGTGCGGAGGCCCATGCACTTGGGCCATATTCTGCTGTTTTCCCAAGGCACGTTGAAAGAAATGGACCAAAAGTGAAGCAGACGTGAACAGAAAATCACTAGATGCTGGCTTCACAGGTGGTGGCCTAATGTGCTATGTCACATACGTGATCCCAGAGAATCTCAGTTTTGAAAATAATTTTCAAACTTAAAGCATTTCAAATTTGTAAGGATGAAAATTAGGGTTAGAAGAAAAGAAACTTCCTTCCTGAGAAGGGAATTCTCCAATCCTGAGATTAGTGTGTACCTAACAAGAGTTGCTAAACTAGACTTTACCAGGAGGAATGGAAAAGGAGTATGTGCTGTTATTTTCTAAAGAATAAAGCATTCACAGGCCTGGCAGCATAGGCCTGGCGGCTAAAGTCCTCACCTTGAATGCGCCAGGATCCCATATGGGTGCTGGTTCTAATCCTGGCAGCTCCACTTCCCATCCAGCTCCCTGCCTGTGGCCTGGGAAAGTAGCCGAGGATGGCCCAAAGCCTTGGAACCCTGAATCCATGTGGGAGACCTGAAAGAAGTTCCTGGTTCCTGGCTTTGGATCGGTGCAGCACTGACCTTTGCGGTCACTTGGGGAGTGAATGATCAGACAGAAGATCTTCCTCTCTGTCTTTCCTCTCTGTATATGTCTGACTTTGTAATAAAAATAAATAAATCTTAAAAAAAAAGCACTCAATGTTCTTATATCATTAATGATCATGACTTTCTGATACCATGAAGTTCCAATACAGTGACATTCAAGAAAATTAAAACAAGAAAAACCCAAAAACAAAAACCAAAGTTTTTGAATTTTATTGAGGAGGGTAGACATTGAGAGCTCCAGGAAAGGAAATGTGCCTGTAGGAGAGGGCGCAGAGATGCTCCCACGGGAGGCAGCTTCCACACTTGGAAGCAGATCCAGGCACCAGTGAAGTCATCCTGACAGTCACATACCCTGCTCCAAATCACACTGCTGTGGGTGGCACGCATCCACTGACACAGCGCCCTCTGTGAGTCAGAGAGTGAAACTTCCAATATTTAGGCTAGTTGTTAAGAAGATGGGACAGTGGCTTGGCCTGGCAGCTGAAGTCCTCGCCTTGAACGCCCTGGGATCCCATATAGGCACCAGTTCTAATTCCAGCAGCCATTTTTCCCATCCAGTTCCCTTCCTGTGGCCTGGGAAAGCAGTTAAGGATGGCCCAAAGCCTTGGGATTGTGAACCTGTGTGGGAGACCTGGAGGAGGTTCCTGGATCCTGGCTTCAGATCAGTGCAGCAATGGCTGTTGTGGTCACTTGGGGAGTGAATCATCAGACAGAAGATCTTCCTCTCTGTATATCTGATTTTGCAATAAAAATAAAATAAATCTTTAAAAACAAGAGAGATGGGACAGGATATATAAGTAATGGGTCTAAGCACACACCCGATTTGCAGCAAAGGTGAACGACACCACCACAATGTCTTAGCAAGAAACAAACTTTAGCATCAGTGATAAAGACCTCCATGACCGCCTTACTGCGCACAGATAGTCTTTACCAAATCAAACCACCATATTGACCACTGCCCAATCTGTGCTTCACTGTAACAGTAAAACACCCCTGGGAGAAGACTTAAAATGTACTGGAGCCTGCTGTCACGGCCCATCTATGTAAAGTCTCACCCTGAATGAATGCTGCTGCCCTCAAATGTAAAGGCCTGCCAAGGGCCTGGTAACTAGGACCTGTCGCTCCCCAGCACTGCCTCCCATAGCTGGGCAATGACAGGGGTGTTATTCTCAGCGGCTCTGCAAAGGCCTGGGCAATATCTTAATTAAGCATTTCTGTTTAAACATGATAGGAACGCACTGATAAATTCCAGGTACAGTTAGTGTTCTATCATCTTGGATTTCTCTTGCAGCTCATCCTTTTGCTTGCAGGTAGTTCTAAAGTCTGGATAAATCTAAACCAGGGAAAAAGGAAATTACACTTTCGTATAATTAGTCCCTGGTCACTGATAGATAGGTCTGAGTGAAGAAAAATAGTGTGAAATGTATGCGTAAAGTTCTTAATTTTAAATATTTGTGATCACAGAGAAATGTAATTTCAATTAAACACTTATGGACTGAAAATATCAGTAAAGTGAAAAATGCCCTCACATTTATAGAATAAATTCCTGACAAAATCACAAGCATGTTCAGAATCTGAGTCACAAGGATAGTCTGAAATGTCCCCGTGAGTCAGATGCATCGAGGAACCCTATGCCACTGTCAGATGCACACAGAGTTCACTTCCATACAGCCTGGCTTCAAAACCAGTGCCCAGAGGCCTGGCAGAGGCCACTCAATTCACTTTTGGAATGCCAGCACATATTCCAGACAAGGCCCACTTCAAACCTGTGATATTGTTTCATTTACTCACTGGTGGGGTATTTGGGGAAGACAAAAATTCCACCAGCTCTGGCCTCCAAAATACTTACTCGTATTGTTTCCGTGTGCTCTTGGCCATGGTGAAGGAGGAGAATGAAGAAAAGATAAAGTGGAGTTAACAGTACTACCTTTGCTACAACAGACAACTTCATACTACGCTGGTTCAGGGAATGCGTGTTTGTGCACAGGAACGTACCTGGGACTCAAGACTTCTAAAAACCACCAGCACACTGAGAGAAAAGGGCATGTGTGGACTGGAGCTCAGGAACCAGCCTCTTTCCTTTGTACGTTCAAAGTTTGA